TTTTGGTGGAACCGACTTTCGAATCTCTTCAACCAACACTTTCACTCGAAATGGAAGTAAGCTCAACAATGAGTGGCAACTGCCGGAGCTGATCAGGTCTGAGACCCGGGCCATTCTGACTGTGATCAGGCGCCAGTCGTTTAATTGTAGACAGATCCAGCCCATCTGCCAATCAGAAGAGTTGCAAAGAATGGACACTTGAGGTCACTGACTCGAACCATATGCAAACAACCCAAACCTCGTGGCATGGGGTCACAGTTCTGCGACTAACCGACAAGACAGGTGAATTCGCAAGCACGGAAGCCTCTCTTCCAATTGGCCACCGCCTCGTAGACGACTCACCGGGTGGCATTCTCGCCTCGTCCCCCTCTCTCCTTCAAAGCTGTGCATAGCCACAACCAATTGTCTAGGGCCCTGCAACAAGACCATTTGAGCACACACTCAGGCGTCCACACTACAGCATGGCGTCACAACAAACAAGTACATACACACACACACATAAAAACACACATACGCACACATGCAGAGGTGAAGAGTTAGGCTAAACTATGCTTTGGACGGTCCAATCAGGAAAGTCTAGCTGGCTAGGGTTAATAGAAGAGCAGAAGTTCGTGGACAGTTGACTTTTGTGCTATTCACTAAAATCACGCCCAGCTCATTCGTTCGTGGCCATCTGAGCCCGACTCGACTGCTCCCAACGGAAATGCCAAATCCGTGTCATTGGCGAAGGAGTACTTCATCCAATGGGGCCGAAATCTCCTGCACATTCCAACCCGGAATGAAGCTGCTGCGAGAGACAACACCATTGCAGGTGGGTGAAGTTCGACTAGAGATAGGATAGCGTTAACAGCATCAGCCATTTGTTGCCATAGACCCAGGCTTAGCGTCAAGATCGAACTAACACCGTACTCATCCTCTTGCCAGATGGGTCCATTTCGCCTCGGTTACGAGTCCCACCACCCAACAAAGGGGTAGATCGGTGTAGTAATGCTTGTGTTGGATCTGCTGTCTGCATAGTTGGGCTGGTTTGCATTTATGAGCTTACTTGCATTTTGAGTAAAAGTGATTGGTGAAGAGATTGCAAGGTCGAATCCACCAAAAGACGACCAGAAACGGATTGTCTCTACTGGAGCATTCATGCTGACGCTGTTTCCGAGGTAGTCTGCTTCGATTCCGGTGAAAAGGTGCTAAGCTTTCGTGCTTCATATGACGGACATCATCAGAGCGAGGTAACATCGTCACGACAAAATTGAAGCTAACGAGTCAAGAAAACTCACCAGCAAATCCCTAAAAAGTGGTACACATGCTCTACATATACGATCTAGCTTTTTATAGGCAAGGCAAAGTTGGTTTTTGAGGAATCTCTTGTTTCATAATTGTTGAGCTTACTTGCATTTCGAGGGAAAGTGATTGGTGAAGAGATTGCAAGGTCGAATCCACCAAAAGACGACCAGAAACGGATTGTCACTACTGGAGCATTCATGCTGACGCTGTTTCCGAGGTAGTCTCCTTCGATTCTGGTGAAAAGGTGTTAAGCTTTCGTCCGTCATGTGACGAAATTCAT